ACGGGGAAGGACCTCGCGAGCGAGGACCCCCAGCGGCTGCGGCTCCCACGGGCGCAAGTACGTATTGAGGAGCCCGGCGGGGGTTCCGGGGCCTGGGAAGACCCAGTTTCGAAATGAGGGAGGCAACAGCGCACTTGCACCGAAGCCCGCTGCCTCTGCAGTTGCACAGGGAGCCTAAGGTTAGGACTCTTGATAGGGCGAGGAAGCGCCTGCCCGCTCTGTGTCGTTTTGTCGTGGGTCCTTGAAATGTCACTGAAACTGGCAAAGTGGGCTTTCCCAGGCATTTCGCTTATTTGCAGAAAATGCCCAGTTGTTGAAAATGAGGTCAAGAACCACATATTCTTCCACACTCGGAGGCTGACAAAGAGGTCCTGGGCCTTAATGAGCTCGCAGGGGCGTGTGCCCAGGTGGAACTTGTGTGTGTTCCCGCCTCGGCCCTCCGTAGGGACCGGTGTCTGGCCAGAGACCCGCAGAAATCTCTACTTCCTTCGTCCCTGTGACTTCATCACTTCACCCTTTGCCCTTGTACTTTTCAAGGATGTAATTCTATCAAAGGGGAAGATGCAAATAATTGGCATACGTTCCAGAGACCTGCCAGTGAGCATCTGTCATTTCTACCCAATCGATTTCCCTGGTGCTCTTCAAATCAAGAAACATGTAGCCACGAGAATTTCATCCATCTAGTTGTTGTTAATTCAGCTTCTACTTGGTGCCAGGGTCCGTCAGCTTGTAGCTCACATGGAAAACCAAACTACTGTTTAGGGAACATTCTGGCTGCAGAATCTGGGCTTCAACCCTCCTGATCTTGACCCCATGTGAGCCAACCTCTGGAGACTTATACTTCCTTCATTTTCAGAGAGGATCAAGAACGAGACCTCTCATTCCTGAAGTTCAGCCAAATTAATTGGCTTTTATTTGTACAGCAAAACTGCTTTTAGAGACATTCCATTTAGGCGAATGCCGGGTAATTTGTATAGCATAATTGACCTCTACCAGGGGTGGGTTTTTTTTGCCTCTGGGGGATAATTGGCAGTGTCTGGAGACATTTTTGGTTGTCACAACTGAGGGGACTGGTGGGGAGGTGCTACTGGCATCAAGTGGATGGAGACCAGGGACGCTGCACAGCACAGTCCCCGCCACAAAGAATGAGCCAGCCAGAACATAAATAGTGCCGAGCCCGAGAAACCCAACTCATGTCTTACGAAGTAGTTTAGCAAGGATAAGAATACAACGTGAGTGCAAAACCAAGTGGTGTAGTGGAAATGGCTTCGAACTTGCAGCTTAGAGACTCAGGTTCTGTTCCTTGTCCCGTTGACTCACTAGCTGTGTGACCTTGAGCACATCCCTGGACAGACCAACTCTCAACTTCCCTGCCCTTGAACAAGGTGATCTTTATGGGCTCATCCATTCGCCGCCATTCTGTTACTCATCAGCTTTTCACGTATAACCACATTGGTTGTCACATATAGGTGAAATAATAGTCTCTTCTGGCATTTATGTGTCTAACCAGAGCGCCATTATGTTCTGAGGCAGCCCCGGGGCTTTTTGGCACCTCTCTTTTTGGTGTCTTCCCCTCTGTCTGCACACACACCTTTCATATCCCCAGACACTTGATTTCTGTAATTCACATACAGGGGACCTTCATTTGCTTTGTTTTTCGTTATAATCACAAGTTCAGTGGTCCCTGTCTACTCCTTTCATTCAAGAGAGAAAATACAAAATAAGGACAGAATTGTGCCTCTGTTGTTGCTTGAGCTTACTTTTCTCAGTGCCCCCCCTCTGCCCCCACCACACCAACTTTTCTTTAAAGGTTGATACACAAGAGGATCTGTCTCGTTACACAGCAAATCCAGACAAGGCCCGAAGCCCCTTTGGGGAGAGGGGAAAGACAGGGTGCAGAGGAGAAGAGCTGACTTAATTTTCTTATCCTGATTTATTTTTCTTTCCCTCTTCGTGGCTGATACTACAGTGCCTCAAACATCTTATCCTGGGAGGTCTTTGCTCATGCTATGGTCAGATACTGCCACCTGGTGGTCCGTTCGCATATGACATGCTCAGGAGAACTGGGCCCGTAAACACCAGGACAGTTGATGCAGTGGGTCCTGCTGGCTGCTCCCAGGGAGCCAGGTTGGGTAACCAGCTTCAGGCACGGACACGGGGTGACTCCTTGCCTCCTTTGACGCTTGTGGGAATGCCAGAGCCTAGAGCCATTGTGACTTCATAAAGTTGGCGAGGATCTTGGTTCTCATTGTTACCCCTTGTTTGGACACCTGAGGTCACATAGTTCCCTCTGGCTCTCCAGTGTGATTCGGAACAGTACAGTCCAAGTTTGGCTCAAGCACATTTTAGCCAGATAAAGTTTTTCTAACAGAAGATTCAAAATTGCCCAAATGCGTAAGGCAGGCTCTAGGAATGCAATTTCTTTGTGTTTTAAATCGATCTGAGGGGACAGAAGGTAGGAGAGGGGTGTGGTGAAATAGACTGTGATCTTTAACAGCTTTTACATGTTTACCACAGCTTTATCTTCCCAGAATTTTAAAAGCCAAAGGTGTCATGATTTTGAAATCCATTCCTATTTTCATCTCCTGTTGGTTTTTGCTAATATAAGTCCATAAATGTTTTGACTTTGTTCATCTGTTCTTTGATGTTTTTATTACAGTCATGCCCTGTTTAAAATCGTTGGCTTAAATTCTACTCTTTTCACTTTCTGCTTTTCTTTTTATCTCTTTTCCCATGCCGCTCGACAGAAACGTTCACTGTAAGTGACCTTGGAATTCTCCTTCGCTTGTTGGTCGGGCTGTGGTGCGTCTTTGCGCAGTGAATCTGTGTATTTAGGATGGCCAGGGCTGGCCAGGAGGACATGGCTCGGGGCTGTACTTGAATGTAGCTCAGTAGTTACTCTTACCACTGTTACTGTCACCTCAATAGTAGTCACCCTGGCGACCGAAGTTGTGTAAAAACTTTTCTAAAAGCTTGAAGTATTTTTCCTCTTTGCACTTTTCCCCAGTCTTTAATGCTTGCATTATTTTCGTATGCCAGCTGGCAGCTCGGCCCACGATGTGATTTTCATCTTTTTATTATACTTTCTTCCTTTTTGTCAAGCAGTGTTTGCTCCTCTTAGGTCTTGGTGTCTCTCTGTCTGTCCGTGTTTAATGATAGAAAGATCAGGGATTTTTTTAATGAGTTTGGAAGATTTTTTTTTTTAATGGAGAGACTGGGGATTGAACCCAGGACCTTGTGCGTGCTAAGCATGTGCTCTGCCACCGAGCTCTCCCCTCCCTGTGGAAGATTGTTAATTGCTTACTGCATTGGCCTTGCCCCCCACCATCCATCTCGTTGCCTTGAAGGCCAAGAGCAGACAGTGGGGTGTGTGGTGGGGGTCTGTGTGTGCTTTTTTCTCACCCAGGGCTGAGCGTACTTCCTCTTGTGAACGCCTGCGTGCAGTTGCTGCATGAATGCGCTAAGCCCGGGATCACCGAGGATCGGTCCCTTCATTTCTCTCTTCATGCACCTTCCTCGCAGTGAGAGAGTTTTGTCAGAGTTGCACCGTGGGGTGGACTGGAAGTTAAGTGGATCCTTGTGTGGTGCAACTTCCTTGAAGGTGTGTACAGCCGTGTCAGAGCTGGGAAGGAGGGCGCCAGCAGCTGTGTTTGCAGGGAGTCCTGCAGGGAACTGAGGGGCGCCCCCTACAGTTCAGAGCTAGGGCTCTGGGTCCTTCCGTGGGCAAGGTGACAAGAAGCACTGGGCGTGGGAATCGTGATCTACCGTCTGAGAGTCGGCGCCTCTGGCCATGCCAGCTGGAGCCTGTTTCTGTCCCTGACCGGTGGCCCCCAGGCTTGGAGCCACAGGCCTGTGGAAGGTCAGCTTTTTTGTGGAGTTAAGATCGTGAGACCAAGGACCTCAGCTCTGCCTGTTTTGTGCCCTGTTTAACGTGTTGGCTGTAATTGTTGTGTGAATAATAATTTGGCTGAAAAGAAAGATGATCATCAGTGGATTCGCCATTTCCCTCAGCTTATGCACAGATGTCTAGAGTTTCAGTTTCTAGAGCTTAGATGGCTCAAGAAAAGTAGACAAGAGGGACCTGCATTATTAACAAGAGGCATGGTGATGTCAGAGTTGGGCTCGGTTTGGGGCTTCGCCTTTGAAGCCTGTGTTTAGAACCCCGTGTGCCACTCTCTATAAAGCGCCGAGGTCCTGTGTCCATCGTCACATTTATCAAAGGGACAGTGTATTTTTATTGGTTTTGTTAAAAGGAACGCATTCCTGTGAGGGAAGGAGTAGAAACAGTTGATGAAATAGTAAAGGGGAGAATGTCAATGGTTGTCTTTGGCTCTTGTATTAAAATAGATATGAAACCAGAATAAGCTACCCAGTAAACCGTCCTTTCTAATCCCAGGACACGATTCTGGAAGCAGATCTGGGCCCAGGGCTGCTGAAGAGGACACTGCCATTGGAGGGTCATGGAGACGTTTGCAAGGGCTGAGTCTGGGTGCATCTGTGTCCTCTGACTTGAAATTCACTGCATTTTGTTACAGTTTATTTTGATGACTTAAAAAAATTCTGTTTTCTGATTATAAAATAGTGTAGTGTATGTTGATTGTATAAAATACAGACAATACCACGCACCATAAAGAAGGAAATAGTGCTCCCCTACCTCTCAGAGAGCGTGCTGCTGGCCACTTTTGGATGCCGTCTCTTTCCTGGTCTTTTGGTGTGGCAGTGTCTCCAAGGGGCTTCCCACCATCTTCTGCTCTGTGCGCTCATCGAGGAGGTGAAAAGAGATCTATGACCATTTAGCGAGCTTTTAAAGAAGTAGCAGGAGCCTAGTTCTTCCATTTCTCAATATAAGGAAAAAATGGAGTGGAGCAAGTTTGAACTCACATCTGCACACGTGCTGGTGTGTCTCTGGGCATTTAGTCCCTTTGTGCCCAGATGCCCAGTGTTCATTTCTTGGCCCCGTGGTCCCCGGCTTCCTGTGCTGTCCCCTGCTGACCCCAGCTGTGTCTCTTACTTGCAGTAGTGACTCTTCGAGAAGACAGTGCCAAGAGGCTGGAGCGGAGGGCGCGCCGCGCGTCTGCGTGTCTGTCGGATTACTCGCTGGCCTGTGACAGCGGGGTGTTTGAACCCCCCATCAAAAAGTGAGAAGCTGGTCTGCCCCCCTGCCTGGGCAGACTTCCCACCGCGTGGCTTGAGAGCACGATAGGGACCCGTGCCAAGACCTGTGCGCACTGACGCCGTGTGTGCAGCCAGGGGACGCTTCTCTCGCTTGCCTCCTCGTGGGAGGGTGGGCCTCCGCAGCCTGCGTGGAGCCCCTCTGCTCCCGCGTGACAGTGGGGGCCAGCCCGGTCCCGGTCCCTGCCTGTAGGACGGCTGCTTTCTCGCTGGCCCTGGGGAGCTTAAGGTGCAGCCCAGAGCAGCTGGAAAGGGAGAGCCAGTGTGTGAGAGACCTGCCTTTCTAGAAGGGACATGCATTAGAAATGGGTTTCCTCCCTCTTCTCCCTCCTTCCTTTCCTGGTTCAAGGAGTCGCTTTGCAAGGACAAAACCCTTTTGGGATTTTGGGCTTTCTCTTGTTTGAGACCATTGACGTTGCTTGACCTCAGGCATCTGTACACATTTCAGTCCTTGCAGACCTTTTAAAAGTGTGTTTTGGACTTTGTCCTGACTATGACATGTGGTTTTGAGAGGTATGCAGGGACTTTCTCAAAAACACGACTTTGTTGGTGGGTACCCTGTGAGATGACATCATGAATCCAGGGGACCTGTCCCACCCTTTCAGTCACTTAAAGTATTCATTTATGCCACAACTTAGTAAAGCCCTCCTCAGTGAGAAGTACCACTAAGGTGACAGTGCTTCTGCCGAGCCTGGGCACCAGCTCTCCCAGGAGTAACGCCTGACTTTCCACTTGTGCTCAGGAGTGAAGATGCTGACGAGCCTGCGCATGGGGACGCTGGCGGGAAGGAGGGGCCCCGCATCCACGTGGGACTTTTGTGAGTACAGAAGACTCCTTCCCTGCTGCTTCTAACGGCGATGGGCCGCCCAGTGACTCACAGCTACACGCGCAGGCTGGCAGGGGCGGAGGGACCCACGCAGTCTGGGTGCTGCTCCCTGGCCTGGGTACCCCGAGCCTGCCTCAGGCCCCAGATGAGGGGACGAGTGGCAGGAGGGAGACATGAACAAGAGAAGATCCACTGCTGCCCTCTGGTGCTGAGTCACAGCTGATGACAGTCACCTATGGAGCCGGGGGTTCTGGGCCAAGTGGCAGGGGAATCACCAGTGTTCGCTGCACTGAGGTGGGGGGGCCCTTTCCCTCCTCCACCCTCCCTGCAAGGAGTAGCTGGGTGGTTTGCAGCGCAAAGCTTTTTGGTTGCTGGTTGCAATTTCTGTAAGGTGGTAACCAGCAGTGTTCAGAGTAGCCAGGCAGGTGTTCGCGTCCGGACAGCTTTCTTCGGCTCACTCTAGTCATTCTTGTCGAATGTTTCTTTTTTTTTTTTAAGTTTTAAATCTTCAAAATAATTAAAAAAAGTTTTTGTTTGGGGGCGGTAATTAGGTTTATTTATTCAGTTATTTTTAACAGAGGTCCTGGGGATTGAACCCAGGACCTTGCACATGCTAAGTACACACTCTGCCACTGAGCTGCACCCTCCCCTCTCGTCCAGTGTTTCTGAGTGCTGGCACTGGTGGCATTTGGGTGGCTCCTTTGTGGTGTGGGCAGGAGGGAGGTTGTGCACGGGAGGACGTGGAGCAGCGTCCCTGGTCTCCACCCTCCAGGTCCAGGAGCGCCCTCTCCACTCAGTGTGACAGTCAGAATTGTCTCCGGACTTTGAAGGTGTCAGGTGGTGGGGTGGGGAGCAAAATCACCCTCCGTCGAGGGCCACTGCAGTAGTTTGAGTGGAAGAATTTCTCCCCCGTAGGGAGTGTGCAGTCTGTGAACTTGGTTTTCTTTTCCAGGCTTGACAGTGCCAGCGAGTGCCTCCTGGTCAAAGTGCTGCAGCTGCAGAACTTCGCGGGGCGGGTGCTGAGGGAGGACTGCAGAGTGTAAGGCCTCCCCGGGGCCCGCTCCACACAGTGTCGCTGCCTGGCCTCTGCCTGGCAGTTTAGGGAGGGAAAAGCCTGTTTGGGAACCTGCATTTACAGCAAAACACCAGGGAGTGTCTGCCTGAAATATGAGAGGTTGTAAGGTTCTGAAGAGTCACGTTTGTCAGTGGTGCTCATGGAGCTGGGCTGGTTATGCGTGGCGGCGGTGCCAATACAGTGCCATGTGCAGGTCGGCAGCGGCCTGTGGGCTCCTGGTCACGAGGCTGGGTGGTGACACAGCCACATTCGGCTCTGTCATCCGGTGAGGTGCCTGGAGAGGCCTCAGGCGGGGCTCAGGGGCCCTTGTCCGAGCCGGAGGCGCCCCGTTGTGAGCGCCGCAGCCCGAGGGGGGTGACCACCAGAGGGGCCCACTGACCCTGGCAGGTAAACGCACTGGGATGGGTTTTCAGGCCCCATTGTGCCCTCCATTCCGTGAGTCGTCCTTGTCAGCTGGCCTTCTGACAGCTGCGGAAGCAACCTGGTCTCCAGTGGCTGAGGGCTCGCCCTGGGCCGCTACTCAGCCTGATGATGTACTTGGCAACACCCCCAATATTCGGGCTGCTCCTGCAGGCCAGCTTCTGCACTGGGGGCGTGGGGCAGTGATTCTGGCCCCGCAGGCACCCTGGAGGGCTAGCAGTCCTCCAGGCGAGGCAGGTGGAGCTGGGACAGGGAGCCAAGGGGCTGGGGGGAGACCACTACAGATGTTTGCCCAGAAAGATGCTGAAAGCAGAACCTCCGTTTGAGTCCCCTCTAAAGTTGTAATGACTGATTTTTATGTGTTTTCTTTGTGCCAGTTGTTTTGGGTTTTTTTCTCTCTTAGTCTCCAAAGATAGGTCAATTCTTTGGACTTTTTTCTTGGTTGAGAAAAGGAGTTTTTCTAGAGGACTTGGCAGTCCTACCCATGGGCATCCAAAGAGAAGCACATAGGGGTGTTCACGTAAATGGTCCAGGTATGTCTGTGCAGATGTGCCAGTAAGCGCTCCCTCCATCTGCTTTGCCCCCTTGGTTCCAGACACATCCGCGTCTATCTGCCGCCGCTCGACTCCGGCACGCCGAACACTTACTGCTCTAAGGCTCTGGAATTCCAAGGCCCCCTGGTATTTAATGAAGTTTTCAGAATCCCTGTGCATTCAAGCATGTTGACGTTGAAGTCCGTTCAGTTGTACGTGTGCTCAGTGAATCAGCAGCTGCAGGAAGAACTGCTGGTACAGTACCCCCTCCCCATCTCATTCCTTCCCTCCTCCCCTCTGCTTTGTCCTGTGCCAAGTGCTTACAAATTGTCAGGGTGTTAAGTGATGTCTGTAGCTGGGAGTACGGACAGGGCTGATAAAGTCCCTTACGTTGTCACATGTTCTGTACTTTACACACATGATCTCAGCTAATACTTGCAAAGCCCCAGTGCAACGGCTTCTACGTGATCTCCATTTTCAGTCACGGAAACTAACAAGTAGGGCTGATAAATTTGGTGAGTAGAAATGCAAGGTGGTCAGTTAAATTTGAATTTCAAATAAGCTATGGCTGCCTTTTAGTACAAGTATGTCCCATGTAATATTTGGGGCATACTTACTTTTTTT